GAGATCACTAGATTACAAGAAATTGGGTTCCAAAATGATAGTTTCATTTTTGAAATTTCCGGTAATATATTGTAGGGATGTGTATAAGAAAGTGCCAGGCGCGATGCTGAAAACATTGAGGTTAAAGCTGAAGTAGCAAAATTAAGACACGATTTTGAGGAGCTTAAATATCTAACGTGCAGGATACGCCTTCTGCTGAAGATATTCCTGAACAAATAATTAATATAACTGCTAACAGTACATCTGATAGTACATCTCGACCTATTTGCACAAAATTAAATCGAAAGAAGAAAAGGAGATAAATAATTTCTTGGATATGAATCTTAAAGGTTAATAATAAAATATAACAAAGAAACGGAGAGAAGAAACTTTACAAATTCAAGACTATCAGCGATGATTCAACATTATCATGTGATATAGAAACCGTAAAGAGAATTTTTCCGGAATCATCATTGTACTTAACCACGTTTTGACCTGTGCACATCCGTGAATTGGAAAAATCAGCAACAGAGATTATCGTTTATTTCATTTATAGATGGATTTCTCTAGAATTAAAACAATAAACAGCATTGACAAAAATGATTACTTAATCTCGTGATCGAGAAAAAAAGGTTTCAGTCCCCTTGAATATCCGCATGTGTGGGAAAATCTAACGATATAATCATTGTTTATTGAAAAAACCTGTTTGTTACGCCCAAAAGGGCGCTATCAATCATACATAAATTAAAATGATTTTATAAGTTACTCTATTAAAGAGTCTGAACTTTTCGTTTTATGCTTGATATCTTAGGACTGCGCTCTTTTATTAATTATCTTTTAGTGTAATCTGGTGAGATATTCTTTTGGTGATTAAAATAAAACAACAATAAAACTAACTATATATTTTTTAAACTTAATAAGCAACGAAAAGATTACTCTTGATTTTTGTTCTCGTAAAAAAGTTGTTGCTATCAACATGTCTGATGTAAAATATACAGCTGTTCCTGTGGAAGAACCTGGAAAGAAAGCATGTATGTGATGTAACGATGAACATACCCTTAAGATACATTTCTAATATGGTTGTGAAATAATTACATAAACACGAATGTTAGCAATAAAGCTTCTTTTTGTTTTTATTTCATATAGTGGATTCTTCCTTTTCAAACAACAACAACAACAATAATTGTTGCAATCCCGCATTGGAAACTTCTCGATGCTGTCGTCAAGGCAAATGTAGAAAAACATTTAGAAAAGCGGTGTTCTGGTTCCTTACATTTGCTCTCATTGGCCATCTTTCCATTATTGGGTTGCGTAAATTTTTTTATAATAATGTACGTATAATATCGTTCACTAAATTTTTTATTAATTGCATTTGCCTAATCATATCTACCTCTTTATCCTCTTTATCCTCTTTATCTAACACATATTAGGCTAAATCCACAGTCTCTCATGATAATACCGAAAATCTCTTCTATTACATGCCTATTCTCGATGACAATATTCCAGATATCCTCGACTACGCTGAAATCATGAAAGATACTGAGCAAGATGGTGCACAATCATTCCCCTGGGGAGATCAAAATGATTGCGTTCCAAGAATCAGATGGCAAGGAGCAAAAGAAACTTTACTTGATCCCGATGAAATTTCTGGAGTGCTTTACAGCGTTAAGGGTGCATCTTCGGTAACATCTTTTTTAGTGCTTATATATTTGAATTTATCGTATAATTAAGATTATCATTCATGGTATACTAAAAATTAACAGCGAGGAAGTGTTATCATTCGTCAAGATGATTCTGAGTACGATTATATCAATGTGACCAATCGTATCTATCTTTCGGAAGAATCTCTTCAATCCGAAGTTAAAGTCAATACCCAAACTACTGATAAAGACTTCTCTATGGAAATTAGGGTACGACGATTACAAATTTCCGATTACAAAATTGTGCACATCTAAGGTTTTCGAATTGTTCTAATCTTTTTTTGTAACCACTAATACAATAAAGACTCCATCATTTGATGGACCTCGCCCGACACGAAAATGTGTTCGTATCGACACAGTGATCACTTTCCCAAAGCGTGTCAAGCACTTCACATCTTTATCTGTCGATGTACCGAATGCTTGGATTTCGACCAAGGATTTGAATAAATTAGATTTTGCATACTTGAACCTCAGAACCTCAAATGGTCACATTACTGTTGACGTAAGCTGTTTAAGGAATTTGAGAACTTAGCAATTTTTTTTTACTCATTGTTGTGCATAAAATTTATAGGAAGTTAAAATCGATTCAGCCGAGGTTGAGACTGTTAATGGCCATGTTCGTGGTGATTTCATAGTCATCGAAAGTTTAAAGGTAAATAAGTTATCGTCAATAGTTCTTGGTTTTAAATATCTAATCTGTCTATTCATCTATTATAAAGGTTAAAAACTCTAACGGTGCTCTTCAAGTAAAAGCTAGCCTTGATCCCTGGGCCGAAGATGTATCTATTGATGCAAGATCAATCAACGGTCAAATTGATTTTAATCTGGTAAGTTATTCATGTAACAACGATGATCTTATCAAAAACTTTTACACGCGCTTTACTAAGCCAACATACGCATATACCAAAGGCCGACATCGCAGAAAATCAAACTGTCGATTTTTACGCTAAATCTATAAATGGAGGTATCACAGCCAGCATCGATGACGCATTCGAGGGCGAGTTCTCTGCATCAACATTGATCGGTTACGTGAGTGTCCAAGGATCTAATCTTCATTTTGACAGAAATTCACGAAATAATAAGGCTGGGTATAAAGGTGATCAAGATGACTCAAAGAAAAGTTCACGTGCAACGTTGGAGGCTGTTACTGGTTCCATTGAGTTGTCGTTCGTTTAATTATATATCATTTCATAACTAGGAAAGTAATTAGGTTTTGGATAAGATCAATTTTTTGTTGTAACCAACTATTATAATATATTTATATTATAAATTCATATGGGATTTTCCAAATTTTTATTTATTGAATTCAAGCATAATTAAACAAATCTTGATTCTTTTATTATAAATCGATTAAAATACTAGCTTGCAACAATGTTCTGATTATACAAATTAAAATTACTAATTACATCGTAATACCTCACCTTCAAACTCATTAAAACAAGGGGATCCATAAAAGTAGTTATAATTATTGTTACTGATATTACTATTTAGTGGAGGTGCCAGAAAATCATTTTCTCCATTATTTTGATTATGATGGTTGGGATTTGATGTGTCGCCACCGCCAAGATCTTCACCGTTTTCACCATAGTCACCTTTGAAGATATTGCTGATATTATTGTTGTTAATTAGACTGCTATCTCTTAGACTGTTATCTCTTTTACGCATGTAATATCCATTTCCAGCAGCAGTGCTACTACTAACCCGTGGTTTTGGGCATCTGTTTGCAAAGTGTCCCTTTTGATTACACTGTTTGAATTAAATAATTTTAAGGAAGCAAAAATATTTTAATGATGGCATAAAGTTACTTGCTTATACGAATCACGTACCTTGTAACACGTAACTTCCGATAGTGGTCGATAAGTTTGTGGCTGTTTTAAAGGAAGACGCTGGGAAAAATAAATATGAATTATAGCATTAGAGAAAATAATGATGCAATGAATTTTCGTCTCGTTCTCACTCACTTCTTTAGACGCACGACTTTTTGATATTGACTCTTCTGCTGGGGAACGATCACGTTGATGTGAACTTATTGAGTCATATTTTGGACTATATGTATATATATATATATATAGAAAAAATGATCACTTTACTTTTTGAATCCTGTAAATATTGAAAAATCTGGAGCAAAGAGGAAAAGAAACACTTACTGCCCATTAGGACATTCAAGTCCATAAGGACAAAATCCAGTCAAGTATAATTGGCATACAGTCTTTCGCACATGTTTCGCGTTACAATTCGGTCCTCAATAACAAAAAAAAAGAAATTCAATAAATTCAACATCATTCGATCCCAATAAATTATGTATATTAAGAAAGGTGAACCGATCATTATAAAATTCTTAATCAACAGACTCACCGTACTTGCAAAATCCTCTCGCATAATACGGACACTCTTTTATCTTACTCTCGGGATCAACATGCAAATACAAACAATCCTCATTCGTGCATTCGCCAAACTTCACGTAGAACCAACACTCGGGCATTTTACTCTCATTAAATTCGTGCAAAAATTCACATTGATCTTGCATCTTACATAGTCCACGCAACCAATGCTTGCACACGACTGCTTTCGCACGTTTTGTGCTGTGTTTGTACTTACATAAAGCTCCGCGTTGACATGTTCCGCGCAGGAAATCCTGACAAATTTTGTTCTCTAAAGAGTTGATTAATAACGTGTTAATTATAAAGATTGGGCTTCTTGTAAATAAATAAAGAGAAATAAAGTATCAAATAATGTTTTCTGTATCCTTTGCTATTTACCTTTGGCAAGACCCAGACCTAACGTGCCTCTTACATATTCTTCAAAATCAAACTCAAGATCATTATAATCTTGTTTAAATAATGAAATAGTGCAAGGCATTTTTGAAGCTTCGAAACTCTCGAGTATTGCAGTTCACTTGATCAATAATGTTAGTTTATTATCTATTGTAAAATATTTACCACAATTCAAAAAAGACAATAATTGCGAGTGATTTTTACAAGGATCAAAAATTGATGATCCCTATGATGAGAAGTAAAGAAATATCGCGCGAAAATTTAGTGCTCTTTCACGTGACACTAGATATAGATTAAAGATGATAATTCTAATTGTAATTGGATGGGATGTTCTCTCAATACAGTCAAACTAAACTCAAAAAAGATTGTTATAGAAAATCGTTTGAGAATTATCAAAACAATAAATTGTATCAAGTCAAAGTGTTATCGTATGTAATTAGAATTAATTAAGCTGAACTTTGGTTACAAAATATTTGATATTTAAGAGGATGAATGATTAAATAAGATTGCATATTGGTAAAATTTTTACAAGCTATTCTATCTGGAATTGAAATTTCAATTATCATTAAGAAAAAATTAGAGAATCCTAAATAGGAATCAATTTCAAATATTAAAAATACTACATAACTTTCGAATATTCTAGACAATTCTTACTATTTATATATCACGTGAATTATTTCTTATTTGGCGTAAAATAGAATTGTACATATTCTATATGTCGCATTTTTATTGGCTTGCATGAAATGATTGATCATCATCCAGAAATTAAGCAGTTTGCACCATAGCGATAGTAAATCTCCCGAAATAAACCGAATTTACTAAATAAATCGCATTTTTCAAAAATTTTTACTAATAGACTAATTCTAATGCTTTTGTTAATCGGAAATTTAAATATTCAAGAGATTTTTTTCATAACAAAAAACTTTTGAAATATCATCAATCAAACCTTTATGAAAAAATAGGTTTAGGTGAGTTTGTTTTAATTAATTCTGAGTATATACATACAGATTACACAGTAAATCTTTTAATGATAATAATGAAATTCAATAAGAGATTATGGTGAAATGAAAATAAAAAAAAATCAATAAAACAAATAAAAAACGAGAGTGACGATCTCTATTTAAAAAGTTTGTGTATATTAATAATTTGTATTAAAGATTTTTTATTTATGAGGGTGAATTTTGTTTGATGTTTGATGATGATGATTTGATTAATGGAATATTATAATGTATAGAAAAAGGTGTTTTACAAATACAAAAATAAGTAAAGTAATAATGGTACTAGAAGTAATGATAATGACAGTAATAAATAAGAAAAATACGAACTAAAATCGATATTTTGAATAAAAAAATATATACGATTCAAAATAAAATAAATAAAATAATAAATAATAACGACATATAATAAAAACGAATTATTTTTGATGTTACATTTTTTGGGAAGGGAAAAATAACAGCATGCATGTCACAGAGACACACTATGTAGGTGAAAAAGGTTCCTCTCAATATAAATGTACGTACTTATAGTGGGTGGTGATTTTATATTCGGAGAAATAATTAACACATGTATGTTTTCAAAGAATGAATGCCAAAATATAATGAATGAATGAATGAATGAATAATAAATAAATAACATTAGAAAAACCCTTGAACCCAGGTCAGAAAAAAGGAATAATAGTCTGTATTTTTGATCCGATGATGCTAAATTGTAACGGTGAAGAAATTAATAACGTATGACTCTTGATCAATGTCTCTTCAAATTATGTGTAGACACACACCCCACAAACAAACTTTTCCTCTCCAAACCCGATTCATCTTTACAGAATCATCATAAAATGGAACGCACAATTTTTTGCACCAATAAATAATATATATTATATCATTTCATTGGGTATTCCACCACCGCCATTTTTCGGAACTGGCATTGATGATGACGCAGAAGGCGATGAATTACGTTCATTCATCATCAGCATCTCTTTCAATTCACGATGTTGTTCATTAAAAACTTCGTACATGGAATCACGCTGCGTGAAATTCCGTACGGTCAGTCTTCGCTGTTTACGTATGTCGCGTTCACTTAAGTTGTCATCATATGACTGTTGATGATGATTATTATTATTAGATAACGTGTTTTGAATTTGAAGTGATGAGTTATCATGAGTGGTCGGAGCTGAGTTCGAGCGAGGTAAAGTTGAATTAGCACTTGGCGAATGGGGGGATTGTGGAGCAGATGATGCTGAATTCCCGGATATGGGTGATTGATGTGGATTATATTGAGTTATGTTCGGATCTTCTATTGATGCAGAAGATTCACTCTCAAGATCGTCATCTTCCACTTGTAGTTCCAAATCATTAACCTCTTCGTCGTCATCATCGCTACGATTTAATGCTTTAACTAGGCAAAAAAAAATAGATACAAAAATATTCAATTAGTTAATTTAACAAAGTATTAAAACAATAATAATTAAAAATTATTATATCCGGGATCTCCGCTAAACTTAATCTCGATATCAACTAACCAGTCATTTTTCGTTCTAATCCAACCACAGATTCCGGAGCATTATCAAGATAATGTACACTATTTCGATTACTTCTACCCGACAACTCATCACGTATATCTCGTCGACGCATAGCCGATTTCGGTGATAATGCAATTAAAGGTTCTTCATCATCAATGGAGATAGGAGCTTCAGTATTGGCAATCGGATTAGTAGAAATATTGGTGTTTATCGTTGGAGAACGGAATGAAGGAGAATTGGGTGATCTGTTATTATTGATGGTGTGACTCACTGTTTCCGGTTCTTCAATGCTTCTAGGTGCTGCTACACCATCTCCGTCAGTAAAGAAGATATATTCGAATTCCGCCATGAACAAACTGAATACCCCGGCTGGAATACCCAAGGTCGGCGAAAAGACGATGCCAATATTGCGCACTGTCATTTTATTGATGTCTGAATTCTGAACTACTCTTATCAAGTGTCCGGTAAGAGTGCGAAGTAGTGTGTAATTTGATAACGGAAGTGCAGATACAAGGCGACCAAGCTCGTTTATACGGTCCCGTCTTTCGAGAAGATCTGATATAATAAAACGTCAAACTTTTATAATCCCAAAATTTAAAATTTAATCGAGTCTCAAAGTTATTTAAAAAAAATTACCAATGACATTGACAAATTCCATATGTAATTCACGGGTCAACACACTAGTCGGTAATTCCCTCAGATATGCTTTCAAGACTCCAGCAACTGCATGTACATCATAATATTCGCCTTCAGCCAATAGATTTACATCACCTTCTGTATTGAATCGTTCTCGTAATAATTTTATCGTGGCATTTGAGCCACTCAATCGATAAATTCCTTCCTCAAATGCAGCATTCTTGGCATCCAAATATTCAATACATCGATACACGACAGCTGGAAGTTCATATCCTTCTTTTATTCTTGCCACAGCAATTGCTTGGTCCAGCGGAACACCAAATACAATTCGATTCGGGTCTGGAGCAATATCGGGTCGATGTTTCTTTTCTTCTTTTCCCCCACCAAACATCGATTTACCAAAGAAAGTCATTCTAACACCTCTTCGATCTTTGTCTTTTTTATCTTCTTCTGCTCGTCGTCCATTCGAAGGATTTTGATTAAATACAGGTAATAATGTTGTAGCACCACCTGATGATGCTAATTGCTGCTGAACCGAAAAAACTTCTTTTGGTTCAGGTGTCCCATCTCTTTGTGGTCTCATAGGATTATTACCATTATATTCGGTCTCCAGCATACTTCCACGTTTGTTGGATTGACTAGTTGTAGACACACCTAATCTTGATTGGGAATACAATGATGCGTCTTGCTGCTGCTGTTGTTGGAACGACAAATTAAGGTTCGCCGGTAAACTACTAGATGATTGAGAACCAAAGCTTTGATATGATGTTATTGAAGATGATACATGATGAGTTGGAACATAGTTCGAGTTGTTATTTGATTGTGCATCATAATTAAAGTTTGTAGATTCTCCATCCACGTTAATGATTTTCCTTGATATCGAATCATTATTTGTTTTATGTTTCGTAGGAGAATTCTCTTGTCGTATTTCTTCCTTGGCTTGCTGCAACACCGCTTCGCTAACAATCAACTTATAATTATTTTCATCACGTCCAAGTTGCGAAATTGGCTGTGCATTAATCTTTTCGATATTTTGTTTGGCGAGTTTTGTCGCCTTTTCTTTCCCACGTTTTTTCGTTTCTTGAAGATCATCCTCATTTACCACATATTGTAATAGAGCATCAACCCACTGATCTCTCTCGGCATCACTTTCAGCACATAAAACGTGTCTCGTGCTTCCTTTCGAGCCGTGTTTCGGCTCCAAGATCAAAAACGCGTGACGGTACGAATTTTCGTTTCCTGCTAAATCGGCCTCAACAGTAGACTGTTGACGACCAATTTGTGCATTAGTCAGTCGAATAGTGCCCAAATGATGACCATCTTTCGATTCGTAATACTCTAATACGGCGCTTTTCAGGACAAAGTAACGTGTTTTCCAACCACCAAAATTTTTGCCCCTCTTTGTCAGATATCCTTCTTTATGACCCATCGAATTCTAAACGAGGAAAAAAGTTTAACATTATTTTTTAATAAATTTTTATACTAATAATCAAGTAAATAAACTCACTAAATACTCGGGATCTTCTCGTTCTACAACGTCTGTACTCAAAAATTCACATAAATCTTTAGTATCTTTGAGCGGTAACGAAATAATATGCTTTAAATAATTTTCAAGCGCCAATTTTCGTTGATCAACTTTGCTCGGTGCATTATTGGTGAAGAGATTCTTGTCAGGCAATTTACCAATTTTTAAGCTACGATTTTGGCGTTGTTTTAACTATTCAAAACAAAAAATTATTCAAAAATACCATGTTAAAATGCATAGACGATCATTATTTTTAGTGATTTGAAAAACTCACCTTAGCGTCCAAAGCCAAAAAATCAGAATATAATTTTTCAACTCTCCATAATTCTTCTTCCATTCCAATAACAATTCCTTCGTGTATCTTTGCTTGTCCCACCGAAATAACGAACGCTAAAACCTCTTTGCCTTTTTCATTTGTTTTGATATTACTGCCTTCAACCTTCACGGAGATTCCAGATATAGCATCGGCCGATATTAGTGTTGGTGTATCAGAACGTTGTAGACTTGGTCTTGGTGGTGTTGGAGGAGCTGCGCTTTGCTCTTGTGTCACGGAATTGGTTGATGAGCTTCGGGGGGGACTTGATTGCAAAGGTCGCCTCGCTGGAGATGATGAAGAATCATTAGTAAACATATTTGGCGTAGTCAATGAATGTAAATCATTCATTGAAAGTTGGTTTTTTAAATGATGTTTTCGACCCTCGGAATTCGGTGATGATGTTTCGGTAGCTGATAAAAGTAGAGATTGACCTTCCACTGGTAGTGAATTTGTTTTCATAATCAAAGCACTATTTCGATTCTTTCTGGTTGGCGATACATCCAAAGTTCCCCCTGAAGTAGTAAGCGCTGGCTTATTACCTTCGGATTGTATATGATATGATTGCAACTCATTCGGCATTGATACTGCAGAAATACGTTTGTTTTGCGTCATTGATTCAAAAGATTTTGCATGTTTCGGCGATTTTTTATTAACATTACTGTTAATACCATCAGCACTCTCAGATGTTGCTGAAAGATAAGTAGTTAGGTTTGGAACGCTATTTATGTGTGTCAAAGATCCCGTACTACTATGTTTATTACAAGTTTCATGTGTCATAGTATCTTCTTTTGTTGTGATAGTAGTAGTTGTAGGAGAACTCGTCGTATTAATTTGAACAGTAGGGCCATTAATTGGCAATGAAAGAGTATGTAAATGTCCATTTTTATGAGTTGAATCTTTGGAAGTTTTACTATATGCAGAATCATCTTGAACGATGTTGTTGTTGTTGTTGTTTTTGTTGAATTGTCCCGATTCTTTTTCATCGCTTTCAAATCTCGAATTATTCGAATTATGTGAATCAGTGGGGGAAAAAATCATATCGTTGTTCTCTTCATTTATAATTTTATTAAATGGAATAGTTGTAGGTGGAGGTCCGGATCTTGGTGAACTAGGTAACCCAACGAATATTTTACCACGCGGTGAAACGGGGTTACTCGTGGACTCGTCACTATGATCTGAACTTTTTCGAGGTGGTAATTGACTTAGTCGATAATTGGCTTTTTTATTCTCTTTTGGTAAACTATGATTACCATTAGCGCTGTCACTAGTTGACATAGAAACAGAAGTCGGCGAGGGAGTAGAGAATTGAAGAACAAAAGAATCATCGAGTTCTGTATCATTTGTGTCATTATACTTATGTCGAGCTCCACTACCAGAAGATCCGGATGATTTAACTGAAGTAGGTGACGAAGGATTTTGCTTTGGTGAAGTTTGTGGCGATGACAATTGTTGCGGTGGTGATGATTGTTTCGCACCAGTCATCAATTGAGTTAATGCTATAGGGGGAGATGATGATGATTGTTCACTATCAATTGAAATTGGAGTATTTGAACGACTATCAATTCCTTCCTCACCATCCCCTCCTGATATTCCACCTGAAGAAACATCATATGTAATTTCAGAGGATGGTGGCGGCGAAGAAGATGGTGAGATGCTATTACTACTAGTCGTAGTCACCGGAGAACTACTAGTATTTTCAGAGCTTGACGGTAAAGATGGCGGTGTTTTTGTTTGTTGTGTCTGTGAAATATTTTCAGTCTGAGGTTGATACTGTTTTAAGGATGAATTGTTATTAGTAGTTCTTAATGAAACAGATGCAGATGGTGATGGAATTCCTTGGTTCTTGCTGCTATTCTCATTGTCATTGTTATTGTTATTGTTATTATTATTACTATTATGATTATGATTATGATTATGATTATGATTATGATTATGATTAGTAGTAGTAGTAGTAGTAATAGTAGTCGTCATCTTCTTAGTAGTATTATTCGGATGATTGTTAACTTTTTCTTCAATATTTGGCAAAGTCGGCACAGCCGATTTTTGACTCAAATTTGAAAGAACACTATTGTCCAATATTGTCGATTTATTACTACCAATATGATGGTGGTCGGTTCTAACGATATTTAAACTTCCACCTCTTTTAACCGATACACCATTACCAACACCTCCAAATTCCTCATCCTGCAACCAAAATCGACCCAACGCATCACTTCCATTTGCGCCATTACCAGTCTCCTTTAATTTTCCCAACAGTCTTTCCTTTTCATAAGCCAATTTTTTATTGTCATTTTGTAAATTATTTATTATTTGCTTTTGTTTTTCAATGATTTTCCATAGTTGATCGTTTTGCGAACGTAGGTTGTTACGTTCTTTGATTACCTCTTCTACTGTTTGTTGTGGTGGGGCTTGCATCCCGTTGTTACTAATCCTGCTGGTACTATTCATGTTTCCACCACCATCTTGATTTGCATTTTGCCGCTTTGAAGGTGACGACATTATTGCTGCTACCACTATAATTTATTTTCACTTTCTTTTGATTGTCACAAAGAACAACTATATTATTTGCTGCATACGTGGTTATGTAGATAGTATTGTTCCCTTTGGAGATTCCAGAAAAGCGAGAGATGTCCAAAAACTCGGTCTTTGCTATTAAGAATATATTGTAGTATATGCGCAAGGCAGAAAAAAACAAACAAAAAAAGGTCAAGTCAATTATGGTATTACTGGCAAACTTTTGATGAGATAAATTTTATAATTATGGTAAATGGTAATGTGCTTCCGAAACCATAGAAAATGAATGAACCAAAACTAACGAAATAAGAATCAAATACGAAGGAAGAACTGTACATACCTGCGGCACGTGAGAAGGAGATTAGTTTAGGGGAAGGAGAAGGTAATAATAAATGTTTTCCTTAATTTTTTTACAGTAAGAGTATAAATAAATAGAATATATATTAGAGATATATATATATATACACAAACTAAAAAGGGCTCGCGCGCGGGCGATTTGCGTCAGAGAAAGGGAGGAACAAAACGTATGTTATTATTGTTATTACTTTTTTTAGCTCGATGTGTATATGTGTAGATGAGTGGGTTTAAAGTTTTATTCTTGAGAGAACAAACTTGTGTGTGAATAGAAAAATTAATTAAAAATACGTGTGATAATATAAATTTAATTATGTATTTACTGATATGAGAAAAAGAAGAGGAGAAAAAGAAAACAGGGTAAAGAAAAGAGATGGAGACTAAGGATGTTGTAAGTTATTGATGCTAAAAATAACAATAACAAAAATAATAACAATCTTTAAGCAGCTACTACTTTATTTTTTAGTCGATAGGATTTTTTTGTGTAATGAAACGAGAGGGATTTTTGTCTGCGTTTATTGTGTTATCGTTATGCTTGGATGGATGGATGAATTTAGGTGAATTAGTTTTTTTTTGTAAATCATTTTAATCAAAAATCCCTATATAAAAAATTTTTGGTGTTGTGGAACTTGGTGATTATTATTTTATGCAAGTTGATACATATAATACGTATTTGTAATGTGTGCGTGTCACGGAACCACGGTTATCCTCGGCTATCGTTATGCTTATTTACAATTTATGTATTAATTTTTAATTGATTAATGCTAGCTAGTAACATAAATATATTTTTATATATATATATATATATATATCATCTACCTAAACTTGTTCGTTATCGTTTACCATCAAATGTTCTGTTATAACACGTGGAAAATTCTAAAATTAGAAAGAAGTAATATAACGGCGCTCTTTCTGATTACACAAAGCACGGAATTGGAAGTTTTTGTTAATGAAAAAAATATTGGTCAATTTTAGAACCGTTTCATGTGTCCCTTTATCAATGGCTTCATTGTAATAGTTTCCAAAAATGATAATAACAATAGGGTGATGAACTAACCTCAATTATTCTGGGTTTTCTCTTTTTTTCTTTCTATGAATTGAAATTAAATGAAATTCTAGTACCAGTGTTTATTATCCGGGTCAATACAATTATGCAGATGCAGATTAATAACTCTTGGATTTCAAAAAGAAGGTTTTTTTGTTGTCTATTCTTGGATGGATGTCACAAAAACGTGGTTGCCTTTTAATGTTTGATTGCCTGTTGCCAATAATGATATTTTTCCCGTTTGTTGTTTTTTTGATTTCATAATTGTGTATAAAAGGACGACATCTGCAATGATAAATTCCGGCACACACATTCTGGAATTTCGCGTCGTTTGAAAAGAAATGAAGAAGCATTAACAAAAATTCTTTTTTTATAAAGTTTCATAGGGAATTTTTGTTTGATAATAGCATGAATAGCTCATTTTTGTAAGTGCTATATACATTATGCACTATTATGCACTAATTATGGGATAAATGTTTGTTACCGCAAAAAGTTTGGTACGATAATACTGAAACGTAATTTTGCCAGTGTTGACGCAAGTTCAACCTCAATTTTACGTCACGCAACTACAGTAACTAGTTCGGAAAACAACAATAACCATATGTATTTTATACTTCTGATTGATATCCCGAAAATTCTTGGTTTTTTTTGTATCACGCTACAACATTTTAGATCTTTGATTGATTATAGATTTCCTATATACTGTAAAGTGCTCTGTATGGTACCTCCTTCGTAAATAATTTAAGCCTTAATTTGACCTCAAGGAGTAAGATCTTTAAGAAATTACGTTGCGAATTCAAATGCGAAACAAATAATTAGTTCTACTAAGTAAAAAATAAGATTTTAAGATTTAAATTTTTTTACAGGAAGGGGTAATTATCTTTTCTACAACTATATCTTATTTTAAAATCTGAAGATAATTTATATTATTTATCTTTTAAATAATGATCAACAATTTGCAAATTATTTATCTTTTAAATAATGATCAACAATTTGCAAAAAGTAAAATATAGCAATTAGGAATATTTAATGTAATAAATAAATAAATATTTATAATTTCTTTATTTTTTTATAGCTTTAATATTTTATATATTATTATTTTGACATAATTAAAACTTTTATTAATTTTTACATATTTTTAAAATATAATTAAGATTAGAATTTTCATAATAAAGATTTCTTTATATATTAGATTTAATAATTTAGATTTATCTAAAAACAAATAACAAACTAATAATTTAGTTGCACAATTTTAGTTATCAAGCTTATTTAATAAATAAATTTGTATAAAATCAAAATATATTATAGAATAAATAATATTATTAAGAATAATATAAAGAAAAAAAATATATAACAAAGATAAATTATAAATTTTAATATAGAGAGAAAATTTCAATTTTTACTATATTTATTAATAAATTTAGTTCTTGAGTTATTATTTTTAATTATTAATATATTAGTTTATTTAATTATAAAAAAATAATATTTTTTTAAGTATATTAAACTTATTTATATAAAATAAAATAATCAAATTTTTTTATATTTTATTAAATTATTTAAAATTAATCTTTATTTTTAAAATAAAAATTTTAAATAATTTAATTTTATTTTAAAATAATTAACTCTTCTTTTAAATATATATTATTATTAAAATTAATTTTATAATATATATTTAAATAATACTATTATATATAATTTTATAATAATAATTAAATATATTATTACAGTGGCAACCAAAAGTAATGACTCAGTGACTAAATTTACTAATAAAATATAGTGAAAATTGAAATTTTCTCTCTATATAAAAATTTATAATTTTAATAAGAAATAATTTTTATTTT